CTTTAACTTTTCGAAGGAGAAACACTCCTTTGTTGTCCTTCCAAACGTGTTTTAGTGACAGAATTCCCTTTCTAGTAACATTCTCTCCATTTGCTCTAAAATCTGAAAGGCGGACAGCAGTAGGTTTCTTTTGCCTTTTTTTTTTTTTAGTAAAAAAACAATTTCGCCCAGCCGGTGTGGCTCAGTGATGAACCAGGAGGTCGTGGTTCGATTCCTGGTCAGGGCACATGCCCAGGTTGTGGGCTCAATTCCCAGTGAAGGGCGTGCAGGAGGCAGCCGACCAGTGATTCTCTCTCATCATTGATGTTTCTCTCTCTCTCTCTCTCTCTCTCTCTCTTCTTTCCTCTCTGAAGTCAATAAAAAGATATTTAAAAAAAAAGACAACCTCATGATAAAAATGTTAACTACCCCTCTCATCTCGTCTCTCTTGCTTAGTAAGCTCAGTGGTTTCCCGTCCTGTTTCATGAACACGCACTGAAGGCTTCCTGCCCAGCATGCGCAGCAGCCCTGCTTATTTGGCACTAGCGGTATAAACGAGACTGTCCTGTGGCCGCTCTCCTTACAGAGCGCGTCATTCAGGAATGGAGACAGATGAGCAAATAACTAACTACAATCCTGCTTGATAAATGCCACGTTGGGGGTTTCGAACAAAGTGCCAGGGGAGCACCAGGGAGTGATTGATTCGAGGGAAGGGGTGGGGATGGGGAGCAGGCAAGACTAAACAGCAGAAGTGACATTTGAGTTGAGCCTTACGGGATGAATAGAATTTTGCCAGATGGACAAAGGGGTGGGGGTGGGGACCCTCCAGACTCATGCAAAAACATGAGAGTGTGAAAGTTTGTGCCTTTGTCTCAGAAGAGGAGAGCAGTCTGTGGGGCTGGAGGAAGAGCAGGGCATGGGAAGGGGTGTTGGCAGAGATCAGTAGAGCCACATTGTAAAGCTTAAATCTGATCTGTACCCTCTAGGGAGGTGATGGTGAACCTGTGACACGCGCATCAGAGGTGACACGCGAACTCATTTTTTTGGTTGATTTTTCTTTGTTAAATGGCATTGAAATATATAAAATAAATATCAAAAATATAAGTCTTTGTTTTACTATGGTTGCAAATATCAAAAAATTTCTATATGTGACACAGCACCAGAGTTAAGTTAGGGTTTTTCAAAATGCTGACACGCTGAGCTCAAAAGGTTCGCCATCACTGATCTGGGGAATTGTGAAAGTTTGAAAATAGGGAAATGTTGCGGCGAGACTCCACTTTAGAAGGAGTTCTGGCCGCAGAGGCGGAGATGGTTTGAATGAGGGTGACTGGGAACAGGGAGACCAGTCCGAAGGCTATGACTGTCTTTTACATGCGAGCTGATGAGGGCAGTGCCAGTGGGGATGCAGTGAGGGCACATACTTGAGGACCACCTCTGAGGAAGGCCCGGGACATTGAGAGGACGTGCGGCTGGGGAGGGGAGGTTTGGGTGATTGGGAGTACAGTGATGGTGCTAACCAGACAGGGCAGAGGAGGAACACAGCTGTGGGCTGAAAGTAATGAACTGGACTTTGGATATATTGGATTTGGAGTGGAATATCAGGTGGAGTGTCCTAAACAAAAAGCAAGAAATGCAGATGTAGAGCCTGCTGGAAGTTAGGATTAGGGAAATATTTCTAGGGTGTTGGGGAATTGCTTTTTCAGAATTTTGTCTTGAGTTTAGAGTCAGAAGCTGTGCATTGAACATTTAGCTCTGCCACTAAGGGTGCGACCTGGAGAAAGTCACTATGATGTTTCTTTACCTTGGTTTTCTTTTATTTTTAAACATATTTGTATTGATTTCAGAGATGAAGGCAGAGGGAGAGAGAGAAACATCAATGATGAGGGATCGTTGATCGACTGCCTCCTGCGAAGGCACACAGGGGATCGAGCTCATAACCCAGGCATTTGCCCTGACTGGGAATCGAACCATGATCTCCTGGTTCATAGTTTGATGTTCAACCATTGAGCCACGCCGGCTGGGCTACCTTAGTTTTCTTGTCAGTTATTACTGACAACTCTGACTTACACACAGGCTTGTGTTCAATTCAAATGAAATAATGTTTGTGAAATGCCTTTGAAATTACAAAACACAGCACCAGCATATGATACTATAATATCCTGACTACGCCTGTTTATTTCATTCATTTGGTTATGTTTTTGCTGAATTGGTTAATTCATTCAGCCTTTTTTTCAGTGTCTATTATGCCAGGCACTGAGGATATAGTAACAAACAAGACAGTCCCTATCATTGTGGAGCTTGTAGTCTTGTGTAGGAGACCGAAAATCAACAAATATATATCATATAATAGCAGGTGGTTTAAATACTATAAAGAAAAATATAGCAGGATTGGGGGGCTGAGTTATAGGGAAGGGTACTGTTTTAGAGTGGTCAGGGAAACCTGTCTGAGATGACATTTCAGCAAGGTAGAATGAATGAGGGAGCAAGGCCACGTGACTGTAGGGTGGGGCTTGGGGAGGACAGGGAGGTGTGCCTTAGCCATGGTAGGTTGGAGGGGACAGTGGGTGCAAAGTCCCTGAGATATGAATGTGCTCAGTGTATTGTAAGCAGCAAGGAAACTAGTGTGGCTTGTAGTTATAGTAAAGATGTCGTGTTTTAAAGGTGGATGGGAAGAGCAGAGGAAGCAGATCTATTTTTACAGTGATCACTCTGACAGCTCTTTGGGGAGTACATTGTAGAGGGTAGGAGTGGGAGCAGGAGGCAGGAGCAGGAGGGCAGAAGCAGCAGAGTAAAGGAGAAATCCTCAGGTTTTAGATACGTTTTGAAGGATTTCCAATGGGTTAGATGTGTGGGGTAGGAGAGAGTCAGAGAGCATTCCAAGGTATTTGGCCTGAGCCCATGGGTCTGTGGTGAAATAGAAAGACTGGGGGAGAGGAGAATGGATTTTGTGGGGACTTGTTTTCTTTCTGTTCTTATTTATGCAGTTTACTACTTAATGAGAAAAATTCTAATGAAAGCAGTAGGGATCTTACAGATCATCTTATTCGGTGATGTCCAAGGATGGGAAATCATTTCCTGTAAGAGTAAAGGGAACGCCGGGCTCCCCTCTCACCTCCCAAACCGCTATTAATGGCTGTTAATGAGGGTGTCTTATTCCTCAAGCATTTGACCAGAACTTTTGAAAACCATTGACCTACTTAGTTCACTTGTTTTATGGGCTGAGGAGGTTGTTGGAAGTGCCCAGGGATACAGAGCTGCAGTTTTCTTAACTTCAGTTAGTAATTGCTTCACGTGTGGTTGGTTTTTCTTTTCAGTTTGATTGTAAACTCCCTGAAAACAAGAATTATGTCTTAAATTCTTCCATATTTTCTTTTTACCTAGGAGAATACTGAGTAATAGCAGGCATCAGTCCAAACATTAAGTTGAGCATAAAACCCAAAGAAAAGAAAATCAAGTCTGCGTAGTGACGCCTGCAAGCTGACCTGCTTCGTTAGTAGAGGGTGGCCATTGCTGGATTTCCCACAGGTCTGGGGCATCAGCAAGAGACAGACACCAGAAGAAAAGAGAGAGAGGTAGTTTTAAAACAGTCAGTGGGTTTGGAAAACGTAACAGAAGTTTTAGAATCAGTTAACCAGGAAAGAAGGCATTAGGGAATCATTTTTACCGCCTTTTACTATTGCTTTTATAGTGAGAGTAAGACCAAGATAACTTTGTTATTGCTGAGAACTTTTTTAAAGCTTTGTGCTTTATTTTTTTTTTACTTTTTTATTTTATTTTTAGAGAGAGGAAGGGAGAAAGAGCAAGAAACATTATTGTGAGATAAACAGCGATTGGTTGTCTCCCTTACTCTCCCCGACTGGGGATTGAACCCACCACCTTTCGGTATAGGGGGACTATGCTGCAACCAGCCGGGGCTCTCTGAGACAGATGTTACCGTATTGCTGGTAGTGGGTGGAGCTCACAGCTATTCACTCCGTGTTGGGAAGCTGTGTACAGTCCCATCACGGGTGATTTTCAGTTCCTGCCTTCTGCCGAGTAGACATTTATATAAAAGGTTAAATAATAGGGTGGCAGTTATTCGTAGACAATCAAAGAGATGGGCAAAGAAAGGGCTAGCATCACCGATAATGTTAGGGGATACTTGTCAATCTGCCTGCACGTACGTTGTCGCTACTCCTACTGCTATGTCGCCATTGTCACCATCGTCATTTTTTATGAATCCTGTGAACTCTAAAGTGAGTGACTGTTCACATCTGGATTGAAGTGGTCAGAGATGGTTTCATGAACAAGATGGTCCTTGGGGCTTGGGCAGGGTGGACAGGTGGGAACACAAGAGGGGGTACTCGAGATGAGAAGAACCCCGTAAACATGGGACTGAGGCTGGGAGCGTGCGTGCCCCGTTCTCAGACAGCAAGGAGACCAACGTGTCTGGCGCAGAAGGGGCATGTGGTTCACTAGAGGGAGAGAAATTAAGATCGATAATTCAGAATTTATTATGTTATGAATGCTACATTACATTCATAAAATTGGATTTGAACCCTGTATGTGAGCTACGAAATACCCATTAATAGAAAATTATATGGTCATTTTTTAATGCTATAATCCGTGGTTGCAAATTTGGGTCTCCATGAGATAAAATATGTGCCTTTGATGTTACAGAGCCTGTGAGACAAACTTTGTCTTTAAAAAGGCTATTTCCGCTGACCTCGTGATTTTGAAATTTAAGGCCCTCATTTGTGATTATTGACTCAAATGTATCTTGGAGGATTAGTAAGAGCATTACGTGCTGCCATAGCCTCCTTAACAGACTGTAATTCTCCAGAGGAGCAGGCTTGTGCTTTATTCATCCTCAGGTCTCTTCCAGCACCGAACACAGTTGCTGGCATCAGCGTAGCTGCAATAAATTGTGGTTGAATTGAATTTTCAAAGCACTCGAGGCTGGCCACCTCTGCACTGGTGGGAGCAATTTGCAGCAAAGCTATATTTTTGGAGTTATGTAACACATTTAATCTTGTTCTTAGGTCCAGCCTGATGACGGGAGGGGCGAAGCGAGGCGTACCCAACCCTTGGCTCTTTGAGGAGCCGGAGGAGACCAGAGGCTTGGGTTTTGATGAAATCCGGCAACAGCAGCAGAAAATCATCCAAGGTACTGACTACCCACGGACTGTGGGCTCAGGAGCCTTGTCAGGCTTTCCCTGTAGCCCTGACTCTTCCTGTGCCCGTTGAAGATCAGAGGGAGAACTGTTGGTCTTCTAAAGCCCCTGGCAGTTTTGTGCCTCAGGAAACCTGGGGAACAGACAGATGATGTCATCCATGAAGGTGACTCAGGAGGTTGTGACTCCCCCTGGGAGAGAGCGGCCAGCAGCTCTGAGGCTGGTCAGCCCCGTGAATCTGAGGCAATGGGGAATTTATTCTCCAAACAGACTCCATCGTTTCCTGATTAAAATAAGTCAGTTTGGCCTTTACCTTGAAGTTCATCTTGCCCAGTGACTTATAAACCTGCTAATTATTTCTTTTACTGTCTTCTATCTTTTAAATTTCAGAAGTAATGCACAATTGTTATACAAAGTTCAAACAATACAGAGATATATAAATAAAAAGCTTTCCATATTGCTTCTCCAATATATAAACAAGCTAATATATATTTCCTCAGACTTTTTGTCAATACACATGCATATATTCAGTATAAGGATACATATTTTGCATAAATGGATTTATGATATATATAATTCTACAGCTTTTTAATTTTTTATTTAACATGTATCATGATATTATTTCATGTCAGTGTTGAGATGTTATTCGTTCTCATTCTACTTTTTAAAAACAGCGTTTTGGGGTGCAGTTGACATTATTATAAATAGCACACAGTGTATGTGATTCCCTAAGCCAGTGGTTCTCAACCTTCTGGCCCTTTAAATACAGTTCCTCATGTTGTGACCCAACCATAAAATTATTTTCGTTGCTACTTCATAACTGTAATGTTGCTACTGTTATCAATCGGAATGTAAATATCTGATATGCAGGATGGTCTTAGCTGACCCCTGTGAAAGGGTCGTTCGACCGCCAAAGGGGTTGTGACCCACAGGTTGAGAACCGCTGCCCTAAGCTTTGACATATGTATACACCTGCGCAATCATCACTATAATCAAAATAATGAACATAATCATTATTCCCAAAAGTTTCCTTCATGTCTATTTGTAATTCTTACTATTGCTCCTCCCCCAATCCCTAGACAGCTGTTGATCTGCTTTCTGTCACTATAAATTAGTTTCTATTTTCTATAATTTTGCATAAATGGAGTCATACAGTATGTACTCCTTTTAGGAGGAAGGAGTCTGGCTTCTTTATTGAAGCATAATTATTTTAAGATTCATCCACATTGTTGTATGGGTCAGTATTTCATTCTTTTGTATTGCAGAATAGTATTACATGGCTTGAATTAACCACAATCTTTGTGTCCATTCACATGTTGATGAGTATTTTGGTGTTACAAATAAAATTGCTATTGAACGTTCATATGCAAGTCTCTGTATAGACATAAATTTTCATTTTCTTAGGTAAGTCCCTGCCAGAGGAATGACTGGTCAATGTAGGTGTATGTTTAACTGCTAAAGAAATTATCACACTAGTTTTGAAAGTGTCTGTACTATATTACATCATCATCAACAGATGTATGTCTCCTATTTGTGTGTTTTTAAATTTATTTTTATTGGTTTCAGAGAGGAAGAGAGAGGGAGAGAGAGATAGAAACATCATCAATGATGAGAGAGTATCATTGATTGGCTGCCTCCTGCATGCCTCACACTGGGGATCGAGCCCACAACCAGAGTATGTGCCCTGATCGGGAATCGAACCATGATCTCCTGGTTTATAGGTCGATGCTCAACCACTGAGCCACGCCAGCTGGGTGTTCTATTTGTTTTAGATCCTCAGCAAACGTGGTACAGTCAGTCTTTTTCACTTTAGACATTTTAATAATCTGTGTTGCATTTCATTGTGGTTCTAATATGTATTGCCTTATAATGACTACAGTAAAACCTTGATATAACAGACTAATTTGGGCGAGGGGGTGTCCGTTAAAGCTAAAAGTCCATTATTTAATAAAGTAGGTTTTCCTAATGCATATGTTAAAAAAATTGACAAATTAATTATTTTACCTGTTTTTACTTACGTAGACAGGTTTGTGTAATTAAAATGTATGAGAAGTTTAATTTCGCAGAGAAGTTTTCTATATGCATTACTGTAATTTTAAATCTATACCGAATAAGTCTAGTTAATGTGTGCATTCACCAGTCACCAGGAGTAAAGAAACACACACGGCTAGGGCATGACTCAGTGCACACGGGAACATGAGCCGGCAGCGTTAAAACCGCTGCAGAAAGTCATGCCATGTGACAACAGAATCTAGCTTCAGGTGGTGTGATCACGTGCTAATCATTGACCAAATATTGTTTACCAGCGGTAACTCTTGGATTTAAATATGTAGACTATAATTGAAGATACATAATATTTATTTATGTTGGTGAAATTACTACAGTGCTTTTCCCAACATACAGCCTGTTCACTAAAATTTGTTAAAAGTAACAGGGTAAGTTAAATACAAACTAACAAAAAACCCAACTACACCTAGGCATATCATTTTCAAACTACAGAAAATCAAAGATAAAGGAAGAAATTTAGTGCTGATGAAAAAAATACACCAATAGGTCAATGGAACAGAATAGACAGCCCAGAAATAAATCCATGTAAATATAGTCAACTGATCTTTGACAGAGGACCAAAGGGAATACAAAGGAGTCTTCTCAACAAATTGTGATGGATTTAATTGTTGAATGTTGAACCGGCCTTTACATACCTAGGATAAATCCAACTTGCTATGGTTATACCATTTGAGGAATATTATAATTTCTTCCTTAAATGTGTGGTAGACTTCAACAGTGAACCCACTTGGTGCTTTCTATTTGGGGTGGTTGTTAATTGTTAATTCAGTTTCTTTAGATAAAAGCCTATTCAGATTGTCTGTTTCTTCTTGTGTGAGTTTTGGCAGTTTGTATCTTTCAAGAATTTGGTCCATTTCATCTGGTTTTATCACATTCGGTGGCATAAAGTTGTTCATAGTATTTTTTATTATTCTTTTAATGTTCATGAGATCTGTAGTAATGTTTCCTTTTTCAGTTCTGTTATTAATTTGTGTCCTCTCCTTTTTTCTTAGTTAATCTGGTTAGAGGCTTATTGATTTTTTTAATCTTTTCAAAGAACTAGCATTAGTTTTTTGAATTCCCGTTTTCAGTTTCATTGATTTCTGTTCTAATTCTTATTTCTTTTCTTTTGCTTACTTTGGATTTAATTTGTTCTTTTTCTAGTTTCTTAAGGTGAAGTTTGTTATTGAACACAGATCTTTCTTTTCTTCTTCAAAAATGCAGCTGCTCAGGCAATAACAATGGTGCTCACTATCGCGACATGATAATCCAGTTTTTGGTGCCTAAATTGCAAGATATGGATGTGGACGACGTGGTTTCAACAAGACGGTGCCACATGCCATGCAGCCCGAGAAACAATTCAATTACTGCATGAGTCATTTCCTGGTTGTGTAATTTCCCGTTTTGGTGATCAGAATTGGCCGCCCAGATCATGCGTATTTGCCAGCAAAGCCGTAGAGGCCATTTACCCGATATGCTACTCCATAGGTTCGATTCCGGTCAAGGGCATGTACCTGGGTTGCGGGCACATCCCCAGTGGGAGGTGTGCAGGAGGTGGCTGATCGATGTTTCTCTCTCATCGATGTTTCTAACTCTCTATCCTTCTCCCTTCCTCTCTGTAAAAAAATCAATGTAATATATATTTAAAAAAATCAATAAAAACATTTATTAAAAAAATCTTTAAAAGTGTGTTGTTTAATCTCTGTATATTTTAGTATTTTCAATTTTTCTTTGTTATTAATTTCTAGCTTAATTTCATTTTAGTCTGAGAGCAAACATTGTATGATTTCTATTTTAAGTTTGTTAAGGTGCATTTTATGGCCCAGAATGTGGTCTGTCTTGGTGAATGTTCCATATAAGCTTGAGAAGAATGTTATTCTTAATGAAGTAGTCTGTAGATGTCCATTATATCCAGTTGATTGATGGTGTTGAATTTATGTTTTTACTGATTTCCTGCCTGCTGGATCTTTCCATTTCTAACAGAGGGGTGTTGAGGTCTCCCACTATGATAGTGGATTCATCTATTTCTCCTTGCAGTTCTATCACTTGCTGCCTCATGCAGTAGTTAGATGCTCTGTTATTAGGCACTTACACATTAAGGATTATTTCTTTTTGGAGAATTAACCTCCTTATAATTACATAATGCCCCTCTTTATTCCCGATAACTTTATTTGCTTTGAGGTCAGCTCTGAAATAAAATAGCTACTCCCGCTTTCTTTTGATTAGTGTTAGAAAGGTATATCTTTCTCCATTTATTTACTTTTAGTCTGTATGTACTTTTAGGTTTAAAGTGGGGTTATTGTAGACAGGATATAGTTGGCTCCTCTGTTTTGATCCTCTCTGATGGTCTCTGCTTTTCAGTTGGTATAGTTTCACTTCATTTCAATCTGGATGTCTTTTTTTCCTCCCTTGCTTTATAGAAATGATAAGAGCAGACATCCTTGTCTTATTTCTAATATTAGAGGAGAAGTATTCATTTGGAAGCCAGGTACTGTGAATTTTTCTATCTATATATATAAAAGCCCAGCAACTGGAATGGTGGAACGACCAGTATGACAGGTGGCTAAGACATGCACTACAGCAGCCAACCAGCCTGATCTGGGACCCAATCAGTCCCCCTCCCCCACCAAACCCAGTCCCCGATTGGCTCCCCCATCCTGATTGGGGGCAGGGCTGGCCAGCCAACCGCCTGTGGCTCCTTCTCCCCACTGGCTTGGCCTGATCGGGCCCCCATCAGGGCGGGCCAGCCAGACCCCACCCATGCACAAATTCGTGTACTGGGCCTCTAGTGTGTATGTGTGTATATAGTTAATACTCACCTGAGAATTTTTTTTTCATTGATTTTTAGAGAAAGTAGAAGGAAGGGAAGGAGGAGGGAGGGATGAACACAGGGAGGAAGGGAGGGAAGGAGAAGTAGAGAGAGATTGGCTGCCTCCTGCACGCTGCC